CACTTGCTCACAGTATTAAACATCATTATCTTCATCTGGTCAGGTGCTGGTCAGCTCAGCCCTAGCCTTACAAGCTAGGTCAAATGGGTACTAGCTTCAAGTTTGGGAGTTCACAGACACCTCCCTGTACTTCAGACTAGCCAGCCTCTTCACCCTCAGCTCTAGCCCTCAGCTGTATGGGTTCAGGAGTTCACACAACTCCCTAAATTTCAGACCAGCCAGCCCTTCCTCTTCTCTCTCTCATCTCAAAGTCAAGGTGCCAATGGGACAAGTCCAAACTTACCCTGTGCCTTCATTGCTGCATTTCTCCCACTTCCACTCACAAGCAGACTCAGGTGGTCACCAGTGAGTATACTATAGTCTGCGATCTTGATGGAAGTGTCCCAGATATGCTTTTAAAAAAGATTACCATGGATTCCTCATTCAGAAGGGGGTAGAAAAAGGCAAGTGTGGGAACAGTTGGAGCTTGGTCTAGGTGGTGGGACTGGAGGTGGAAACAAATAGGTGAATTAAAGACTCGTTTTGTAGGCAAAAATGACTGATGAATTTGACAATGTGAAGCATGATGGAATAGGCAGGAGTTGTTAAGGATCCATACATCATATTCATGGCTTGAGAACTCCCAACATCACTTCTAAAGATGTGTGGGGATGAACTGGAACTCCTAGAAGGTCTCTTTCCAGATGGTTGGAATGATTCAGAAATACACTGCAACACCAAATGTTATGGTTACTTTAGCCTTACTCTGATCTGAGGAACATGGATGTGTACAGATTAAAAGTTTGTGTTCCGTAAACACACTTCATTGGAGGCAGACTGGGTGATTAAGGATTAGGAGCTAGTTGTAGAAAAGGAAGTCTATAAAACAAGAGGGAAATAAAAAGGTTTTAATCTCAAAGATTTGCCTTGATACCATAAAGTTGAAAGAAATATATGTCAATCAAGCCATTGCATGTAGCTCTCCAGTATTTTAAACACAAGTCAAACTTGAAAATTAGATTTTGCAAGGAATAAATTCCTAAGGCTTGACTATAATATGAATATGAACTCTGGGGTGAAGGCCATTTTGCCTCATACTTTATGGTTTAGTGGTAAGACAGAGAGCTGTAACTTCTGCTCTGCATAGTTCTCAGGAGATACAGAAATTCCATCCATTAATGAAATATGGAAAGAGGAACCAGAAGCAACTAACTGCCACATGCTATCCAGAATTGCAGGTGGTAAGCAAGATTGCTCACTGGATCCTCAAGGTCTCTCAGTGGACATAACATCTATGTTGTCATAAACAGTTTTCCCGTTTCCCGAGAGCAAATAGCTTGGAGCTGCCTGAGAGCTCCTGAGTCCCTTGGAAGCTTAGCACATAAAACCAGTTGTAATCAAGTATATTCCAACTCGTCAACTTCATGGCTGTCACAGTAGAACTGTGCTCCATAGGGTTATCCGTGTCTGAATTTTCAGAAGTAGATCGCCAAACTTTCCTTTCACAGTGCCTCTGGGTAGACTAGAACCACCAGTATTTCCATTATCAGTCAGGTATGTTAACTGTTTGCACTACTAAGGAACTCCATCTTGCGCACAGTGACTGCTTAGTGGACGTTTGCAGAATGACGTAGTAACCCCCATTAATAACCAGTAAATTCTGATCCAAACTCACCTCTTCTTGTCCAGTGATTTTCAGAAAATGGCAAAACTCATCTTGAATTAAAAGAAATTTGGCTCTTCGCTTCCCTCCAGCATCTTTCAGATTAGCCAGGCTCTCTTGGAAATACTGCTCGGCAACATCTGAAGGAAGATATCATAACAACAACATTGACAACTGATTGAAGATTAGAAATGGGAGCTGAATGTACTTTTAGTGAAGTTGAACTATTTGAAAATAGTAAGCATTTGGACAAGAGAAACCAGATAAGGAAACGGTCCTTTAGCCCATTAATCTGCCCATTTTACCACAAAAGCTTTATGTCTTAGAAGCATACAGCAGTTTGCTTTCCTTGGTTTGCACCCATCTTAGCTTTCCCAAGAACATAGTAAGCAAAGTTAATGCAAAACGGGGAGCAATCCCTAGATGTGAGCACATCAGTAAATTGTCAAGTTGATGAACAGTAATTCACCCTTGTTCTGGCAACTCATAACTGGAGTTAGAACTCCAAAGGCCTTCTTACTTTAATGCAATCCGTAATCTTGGGACATATATTTATAATGTGAAAATTCTGGAAAATGTTTGGCACATGCTGAGAAAAGAAACTCCAGTGATTCCATACATATAAACATATTGATTATAATATAACAAAAGTATAAAAAGCAAGGAAGGGAAAATCTTAGATATTGAAAATGACAAAGGAACTGAAAACTAGAGCAGTGAGCAGGAGCAGAAGCTGACTGGTTCGTGAAGGCATTAGCAAAAAAGTTATGTTCTACAAGTGCTAGAGATGAGGCCTAAAAGCCCAAGGGAGCTAGAATGGAACTCCTGACAATTCTGCCTGGCAGGCAAATTCAAAGTATGACCCCCCAATGACCTTCAACCTTGTATAGCCCCACTCCTTTGATTGTGAGTATAATGCGGCATTACTCGTATGATTGGATTGTGGCACAGTTGACTTTAAGAAAGGGAGATTAAACTGGTGGGCCCATTCTAACCACATGCGTGCTTTAAGAGCAGAGTGTTTTCTTTGGTTGGTGGCAAAAGAAGAAATCAGAAAGCTTTGAAGCATAAGAAGGATTTGATGTGAAAGAAGTTCTCCATTGCTAAGGTGGTAGGGGCCATGGTTCAAGACCCTAAGAGCAGCCCATAAGGAGGTGGAGAGGTCCTCAGTCAAAAGCCAGCAAAAAAAAAAAAAAAATGGGACTTCAGTTCAGCAACCATAAGGAATTGAGTTCTGCTAATCTTCAGGCTTAAGGAGCTCTGGTTACTAATCGGACTGCCAACCTCAGGGTCAGCAGTTCAAAACTACCAGCTACTCCATGGGAGAAAGATGAGGCTTTCTGCTCCCACAAAGATTCACATCTTCGGAAACCCTGTACAGGGTCGCTATGAGTCGGAACCGACTCTGTGGTACATAACAACAACAATCTGCTAGCTTGCCAACAAGATGGCGGATCAGATAGAGGTGCAATGAAGAACTCCATCAACAACACAGAATATGGAACCAAGCAGGCTCAGGGGATGGTGCTAGAATGCTGAACCACATATAAAGGAATATTTAGAAGCTTGGAAAGCTTACAGCTAGGGATATTTGTAGCAGAATCAAGAAATCCAGTGCTTTCTTGATTCAATTCAAGAATTCAAGATGTTCAGCTGCTCCCAGAGCCACCATCTTGGGAGAGACCAAGTAGGGAAAGGATCAAAACAGCCCAAAACACCTGACAGAACCACAGAGATAGAGGTGTGGACACTCTTTTCTTTGGTATCTGTTAATTGGTCTCTTGCTGTCTGCATACCTCCATTTTGGTGACTAGAGAGGATGCCTGAGCAAATGGACACCCTCATCCCTTCCCCTGGAGGGCTCTACTACGCATGCGCACAGATCTCTTTGAAATTTAAAGTGACAGTTTCCACTTAAAAACAAATGGCCACCACTTGTCTGTCAGTTTGTCGTACTGTGGCGACTTGTGAGTTGTTGTGATTCTGGAAGCTATGCCACTGGTATTTTAAATACCAGCAGGGTCACCC